AATCCAATTAATTAACCAGGTGAGGGTCCCTATCAATTTTTTTTGGCGGGAAAATGGATATTTAACAATTATTGAATCAATGTGGCCTTCTAAGATACAAGTTTTTTGCGGGAGAATTTAAGTGTAAAGAAAGGTCCACAGCGACAATTTGGGGGGCAATTTGGCATTTTTTTTTTGGAAGAATTGAAGTGTGAAGAAAGGTCTAAAGCGACAATTTTGGGGGCAATTTGGCAGTTTTTTGCACGAAAACCGATGTGTGAAGAAAGGTCTAAAGCGACAATTTTTGGGGCAATTTGGCAGTTTTTTGCGGAAGAATTAAAGTGTGCAAAAAGATCTAAAGCAACAAAGTTGCGGCAATTTGGCAGTTTTTTTTGCAGGAGAATTGAAGAGTGACGAAAATTTTAAAGCGGCATTTCATACAATATTAAGAGGGTGACAACATGGAAATTTGAATTGATTCGGCCGGCTTTTTGGGGGGAGAATTTAAGTACAAAAGTTAAAGGGACAATTTGGCATTCAACTATACAATATGGCTCCTTACAAAAAAAGAGAAATGCGAGTGCAAGTGTGTGCATATGGAGTGTTGTCTCGTGTTAATAAAGAAAACATACTCACGCCTCCCCATCTTCTTCTTTTACACAGGTTGAGATCTGCCTCCCCATCTTCTTTTACACAGGTTGAGATCTGCTGGCTAAAGTATGGTCCTTCATCCTGCTACAGTCTGGTCTCTGGATCATCCACAACGTCATCTTTAAGACAGATAAATAAAAGTCAGTGCATTGGAAACAGCTATTGGCCTTCATATCAAATCTCAGAAGCAGCAGAACAAAACTATACCCATTAACTAATTAATTAACCAGGTGAGGGTGCCAATTAGGTTTTTTGGCGGGAAAATTGATAAAAAATTTTATGGCAGAATACTTTCAATCAACCACATGTTCAGACAAGTGTAAAAAAAGGTTTAAGTGACAATTTTGGGGCAATTTGGCATTTTCAACTACACGATACGAAGAATTTTTCAGTGACGCCTAACATAGGATTAAAGTTGCCGGTTAAAGTTAAAAGTAATAAAGGGCTCTTCACGGAAAAAAGGCATGCAGACTGAACTGGGCAAAAGAGAGAAATGCAAGTGTAAGTTTGTGCACCTGAAGGCATGTGGAGTGTTGTCTTGTACCTCCCCATCTTCTTTCACACAGCTCTGCAATTAAAAGTGTGGTTCTTCCTTCCGCTCAGACCAGGCTTCAGGTCCTTATCTTGAAAACGGGAGAAACAAAAGTCAGTGTATAGAAATACAGCAATAGGCCAATCAAGAAATTAGGTCACACAACATTCAACTTTAGTCCCAACATCAAAACCCCGATTTTACTCAAGAGAAATTCAATTGTCAAAGAAAAACATGTTGCAAAAACATTCCCTCCTGTAATGCCCATAGCTATTAAAAAATATGTACAAAAGGCAATTTTCCAAGATTCTAAAAGCTCCAATCTAGCAATGGTTTGTTTGGTCCATTTACAGTGTCTAGTTACCCATCTAAATTATTGCGTTTTCGCTCAAAAAGAATCTATGTTAAGCACAATTGACAAAATTGAAAACAACGTCTGCAAACTTTTGAAATGAGGAATACACCTGATGCAACTGGCACTATTTTCCTTCAAAACAAGACACGCAGTCACCCATGTTAGGCCCAGTAAAAAAGTAAATTTCGATTTATTTAAGTCTGGCACGATGGATTCGCTTCAAACTTGGGAAGAACACGCGGGGGCACACTCTGGACATGACCACACAAAACAAATTCAGATTTGTGCGACGAGGATGGCCCGAGAGTGACTATTTGCTTAAAAAGAGAAACCGCTTTCTTGGCAAAGCATTGCTGGGTTGGGGCTGTACATGTACAATACGTACTTCAACATGGTGGCGCACGGGGGGCAAGGGTGATGACATGTGAACACGTCCTATTCTTCCTTACATAAGGAAAAAGGTTTCCATAGTGATTTATTTATTGAATTGTGTAATTGTATTAAAAACTACACTGTCACATATAAAACAAATACATATGCCACAAAAATGGCGGTCACATTTGCGTACAATTAAACAATAGAAATACAAAGTACACATACTATAAATGCATGTAATATAATAAGGACCAAGATTGCACAGCACGGTGGTAAAATCTGGGCTGCAAAGCTCCCACATTTCATAGAATCCGAACTGTGTTCGATCTGGGCAATTCCATTTTGGGGTCACCTGCGGTCATTTACAATAAAGCGGCAAAACAAGCCCTTCTACCTGAGTGCCTCGCAGTAGATAAAAAACAACACTTTTCTATAGATACAAACAGTTTCCTGGACAGTACATGTCCGCTATAATTTTTGGTGGGTATGTAACATGTAGCGAAGCTACTGTCGTATCCTTGGGTGACCTTGAATACTTAAATGATTCTTTACGCCTGTATGAATGACACAATGCACACTTTCTGGCGATAGGACATGTCTGCAAAACTCGTTCAAACCTGGAAACATGGAGAGTCAAACATACCCCATTTACGGCTCAAAATGACCGTTACGGTTGTCCCGAAAATCGTGTTTTAGGGATTTTTGAAAAATGACTTCAATTTTGAATTATGGGTAATTTAGTGAGAAAAATGTCAAAAAATGCCATTTTTTCACCAATATGTCGACAAAAACTAGACTTAAAATCAGAAATTAAAAAATCCCTAAAACACGATTTTTGATGTTATTCCTAGTCTGCGAAAATATAAAAATTGGGGATCTGGGGTAATATACGTAGCCAGGTTTGAACGATGTTTGCCTAAAAACGTGACATGACTTGTGCTTGGAAACCCGAAAATAATCGTCTTTCTGAGCAAAATTTTGAAAAAATCAGGGATTTAGCATAAAAAGCTAACATTTAAAAGATGTTAAGACGATAATTTCATTTTAATTTCACGAAATTCACCCCTAAATATTATTTGTTTCTTTTCAAATATTTTACGGGTAGTCCAAAACAGGCCAAAATAACGTCTTGTAACCCGATACCTTTCCGAACGCGCATAGCAATGGGAAAGAATACCGTAGTGACAGACCGGCGTGCAGTTCATCCTCAAAATCAAATCAGTGCAACCACAGTGACTGCGTCATATAATTATATATCAATAACAGATATAATTTAGCAATGAAGTATAAAATCCAGTAAAATACATGTACCAAATTGACAACCTCTGATTCAAAAAGCAGCAACAAAACCGAAATTAAACTATAACAAGAAGCCATAGGTAACAATCCTCCGTGAAGTTTTATATATTTCAACAAAATCCCAAGCGTCAACGCCAGACCTACTGTGCAGACATTATAATTAGGCAACGGTTAATACAATGAGGGCGCGTCACAAGCATAAAACATAAAAAGAGCTAAATCCATTACTGCTCCCAGGGCGTGTAAAGATACTGTGCTTCAAGTTCGAAGTTCATTTTAATTACACACACACAATCATTGCATTCACATAAAGATCGGACTATCATGGTCGTGTCTAGTAACAAACACAGTCCCACCGTCTTACCGTGCCTGTACCTAATTAAGCGCGCCTGGAACAGGGCAAATTCCAGCAACAGTTGCGGTAAGCACCGCGAGTGTTACTACCACCGGCCAGATAACCAGGATATCTGCTTACAGTACCTCTGCTACCAGACAACTGCCTAAACCTACGGCCTATTCCACAGGATTGTAAAAGTAGGGATGTTTCTAAAATATGCATTTACTTCTATATCAAAACAGCTACGGTAAAAATAAAAAGACGTGCATCATCCCGGACATAATGCCACACCACATGCGAAATTACACAGAAATGCGACGTACGGAAGAATGCGTTTTGGCTGCGAACATCTTCCAAAAAACTTGGCATGTCTTAAGAATGGGCAAAAGCATCTGGAACCACTTATCAAAACCACCCCGTATCTGCATGAAGTTCCACCCCCCCACTGCTATTCCAAACAACGCGTTTTTCTGGACCATTCCAATTCGCCTCGTAATTGTAGGGGTGCGTCTGCAATATTACATTGACCGCGAAAGCAGCAACGGCAAAAATACACATTCGTGCATCAACACGGGCATGCCCGCAGACGTCGTATAAAATTGCGTGCCGATTACACAAAGAGAACCCAGTGTTTTGACTGCAAACATGAAAAATCAGCCGATCACAACACTCCGTCCGGAGGTCCTGACCTCCTTCACGGAGTAATTATTATGTAATTTCACTTGTGCACAGATTTAATTTTGGGTGCTCAGAAGTAAATAATACAACAATATGCACCTACATGTAGTTAAATTTTAGCCTTCGAAAGTCTTGTTTACGCGTCTTTTTTGGCGGGAACATAATTTGAGTGGGTTTAATTATGCACACGTGCGGTACGTTCCAAAAGGTGTTCACTGGGCCAAACTGTGGAAATTTCCAACAACAAAAAAACGTGTTTGTAACAGGTTTAGCAACGAAATTTTCTCCTAGCTTTCTTCAATGACACTCAACACGAAAGAAATATATTCAGTGTTCCCCAAAACCACGATAGTCGGGAAAACAACCTCCTATTAAAAATACTCAAGTACAAAATGGCCCACAATAATTTGTGTGCGACCAAAGTAAATTATGGAAACTCCTTGGTGCGACATATCGTTCCACAAAACGCAAATTTCTACGGAATATAACAGTTAAACTAACGAATTATAACGTGGTCTTTTGCTACAGGTTTGTTGGAAGTACAAACATGTACATTCAAGGAGATAGTTTGCTGTCTTACCTCGCAAGAACAAATCTTTTTCAGCACCACGCCACGCCGCCATGGCAGTCGCCATTTTTCGTCTCCAGTCTCCAAACTCCGCCCGCTAGCGCCAGGAAAATTATACGAATTTTCTCACTCAAACATCCAAAGAACGGCACACATCCGACCTGGAAACGTCCAGACGATATACTGTACAATTGAGACGGATAATTTGCGGGCAAAAAGCCGAAAATTTACCTCAAATGTTGGAGAAAATTCACACATAACACGCCGCGCCGCACACTTGGGAGACCCCAAGTGTCAAAGGTTATGGAACTGCAGGCGACGCACACAGGTGGGACAAGTATCCAAGCGCAAATCTACGCCGACTGAACACGCACCATAATTCAACTTTTACAGTCTCAAAACTGACGTATTCCTCTAACATTTACCACACGTTCTATCTCAATGCCATGCACAGAACAGTCTCTGCACCTTTCTCTATTATTGTGCAGCACTACTTTGTGCCCAGACTACTTTTGAGGGGTTCGCCCATAAATACTTTGTTGTGCGGTCTTAGTGTGGAGCTGTCCTTGGTGTTGAATTCACCATCAATTATATGTATTAAGTATGGCAGCATGTATTAAGCATTGCAGCTTGTTTGACACAACAGTATACCCATGGAAAAGCGAGGGATTGATGTATTTTAGTACATTTATCTACAGTATATAGTACATTGAAGCCTGCATATCAACAAGATCTATATTTCATCAAGTCTGATACATTTTCTGAGGATTAACACAAAGGAACAACAGGGTTTACGGAAACTCAGGTACCGGCCAGGCCAGGCTACCACAATACCAGGTATCATTTCTTGCTTAACAATGTTTATAAATAAAATGCCAATACCAATGCAATTCAGGCAACATTATAACTCTATATTGTATGTCTGTAATGTTGGTATGTAAATCAAGAATTGTAAAATGTGAAAATGTAGGAATCTTCTCTTTTTTAGCCCGCCTTGGGTTTTTTTCGCCCTATCGCATCATACTTGGAGTCTGCTGAGGATGTCATCCATAAAATTTACTTGCTGTGGCCTAAGAAAATAAAAAAAAAAATACTTGAAATCTAGGCCAACTAAATCTCGGTCCGCTAGACTCTATAATAGTTAATTGATCATGGGACAAATTTTTCATCGTTGATAACGTTTTAATAATTCAATATTTTCTATTTCATCATAACAATCCTTTCACGTTGAACACTCCCAATTGGAATACCAACACACAAAATATTTCCCCTTTTCATACACGTCAATAAAGTTAAAATTTAAATTAATCTTGTTCAAAACTCTCAAGAGCTACGGACACATACTTTAAATATAATCTACATATTTGTTAGATACTTATGAGGTAAAATTTGCTGAACATGATTCCACGTATATACATGTACATGTATGTTGTCAAGTTTAGATCTTTCTACAGACAAACCCATACAATTTATTACAAAAGGTATTTTTCAACAAATCTGAGGAAAAAGCTAAAATTCTTTGTGAACATTTCTGAGTGATATGATTTCAAGTACTACTACTAAAGTGCTTTAAAAAAATGTCTACATTTCTAAATAGTACCTTACCATATTGCCACTCAACTATTAACTGCAAGAATAAGCTTATTTGTTCTTGCTACAAGAGTATATCAGTTAATAATAATAATCTATATGATAATAATAATAATCTATATGATCTTGAACTACAACAAATGTGGCATATAAGTCTCACTTATAATATATTGTTCAGACTTGTAAGATATATTATAATTGATTTTAAAACTTTCTATACATTACATGGCTTCCACTGCAGAAAAAATCACAGAAAGATAAGATAATCTTAACACTAAAACCACTCAAATGTTTCAAGTTGATGTACAGGTAAACATTGTAAAGGTGTATACATACTACATGTAAGTGAATAAAAGGTTGAAAGTAAAAAGGTGTGCTTATTACATGTGTATAAGAGAAAATGCCTTATTCTGCAGTTCCTATTTGGCACCACTGGTATATAAGGTTTAGACAAAAATATCTTACAGTTCACATTTTGTTCAATTTAAGCAATAGACTTCCAAACATAAGTCTACGGCTTTCTTAACATAAAGTTCAATGCATCCCATTGATGCACAAAACATAATCTATTCAACAATAATACACAACTTGTAACGGTCTTAATACACCTGTTTTGCCCTCCCTTCCACAAGTATACATTCTGTACTTGTCACAAATCCAAATAAAAAAAGGAATAAATAAATAAACAATAAATCAATCAATGATGACTTATATGCTCAGGAATTTTCATAACACTGACACTAATGACCAGCTCCATAAGCTAGTGTAAATAAAAAAATAAGAAAACTTATACGGCACTACACGTACATGTAAGAAGGACAGAAAAAATTCAGTACATGTAAATAAAGAAATAAACAAATGTATGTATCAAAGTGATAGTGCAGAGAAATTCTTCTAACTTCTTTAACAATTAGCAAGCAGAGGACCAGTACCATGGCTAAGGGTGTCATGTCATAAGGAATAAATTGTATTACAAGTAACAAGGGGTAGGGATTCAAACCCTCAACCCTCTGGTTCAGATAGGCTAGTCCAAACACTGAATGATACGATGCACAAAAGCAACTCAAGATCAGCTCCATATACAAATAGCAACATACTCACCAAGGAAGCGAAACCAACATATACAGTACCAATTTTCTTGTAAATGTACTTGTCACTATGTAATCTAATTTAAAATGTAAAATAAAAAGCCCAAAACAAATGTGCATGCTGTAGCAATTGCACATCCATTTTGTTCTTTTGGCATAGTTGTGCAGTATCCATGGAAATGGCTTGTGTGCATATTGTCATGGTTGCACTCGACTCAAATACAAAAATATTTTATTTTCTATAAATATTTCTATATACAGAAATAACAAAGTCTACAATCTGCAGAGAACTTAGTGGAGTCACCTAAATGGCTTTTTTTTTACTCTGATCAATGTTCAACCACCACAGGCCCAGGCTCAAATGCAGAGCGGTAAGACGACACCAGTTCGGCTTTGCGGATGATCTGTATGATCTTGTCGTATTGTTTGGTTGCGTCTTTCCCCCAGATGAAGTCCATGTGGTCGAAGTTTTTTATCTCATCGTTGTAGACGACGTTCTTGAGTCGCGGGATTGCGGCCTGTACGTCCGTGGGGTCGGCTAACCAGTCGTTACCGCCCCAGAACACAGCCACAGGCGTCGTCATGTTCTCTATGGGGTAGACAGGGGCAGTCGGCTGGAAGGGAAGAGAGAGAAAGAAGTGTAATTACTAGAAAGGTAACATTTGCAAAGCAAAGGCATAATGTTTACCTTTGCATATGTACTGCTCTGTTAATTCTTACTCAAACACAATCATATACTAGTATATGGTCAGACAGGAGGCTAAATCCCTCCAGCTATAAAATTGCAACATGATGTAACCAAACACACTGTTACCATGGTGACAGACGTCTGGTTCAGGTCATTGACCTTATTGCTTTGGAGAAGAAGAAGGTGAGAAGAAGAAACAGAGCAAAAAAGAATATGTTTTCCTTCGGTAAACATAAATAAAAGGTATCGGAATGAAGAGAATAAAGAGAATAAGCACATTCATGGAAAGCTTGAATTTGTTGAAACAAAAAGTGGGACTACTACTAAAAGACACAAAAATTCCCATGATGAATTTGAATGTCTTATACTTATCACATACTAAAAAGAGTTTGAATTCCTTCCATGGCCATTACCTGGTTGTAATGTTGCTTGTTCTCATCTGGATTACCATAGTCATAAGCCTGGAACTTGTTGGAGTTCACCATCTGTATATAAGTTACAATGTGTGTATTGAAATTATTATTATATAAATTATAAAGGTCCAGTACATCTTTACTTCAGAAAATCAACTGTCAACTAGGAAACAACAACCTGTATGAACAGTTAAAAATTATATGCAATGTTTCACATTCAAAACCCATAAACAAACTTTTCATTCCAAAGCAAAGGCAGAGAGATCAGAGTACTTTATGTACAAACCTGTGCAAAGTGAATCATGTTTTTTGTGGAGGTCCCCGCTGGAGTGTGAGAAAAGTACACTGGCAGTCGCGTCTGTAGAAAATAAAAACTCATTAGACAAGTTGCAAGTGACAAGTATATACAATGTATAGTAGCAGTTACAAGTAGTAGACGCTTATCTATGGGTTCCCTACAGGCATTGTACAGTAACATCTTTTGAAGTCATCATACATAACATTTTCAACCTGCCTTTTACATACAGGACCCAAAAACCAAACTGTGTTGTGAAAATGAAGGAATTCATGCACATACCTCGTTCAGTTGTACTGGGTCGAAGCCCACCAGTAGGAAGAGCATGTTCTCACAGTACTGCTGTGTGGACTTGTCACACAGGAAGGAAGCCAGCCAGTCCAGCCACCAACTGTTGGGGAGGAACTCATCTACTCCAAAGATACGGAACATCGCCTGATAAAAGACATGCAGGTAGTACATTTATTATCTATCTTCACGAGTAGTGCTGCATACTGGTTCACTGGACTTAATTGGATCCGGACTTGTAAGAATGTTTAGGTTCAAGTCCAAAAAAACCTAAAAGTCAAGAACCGAGTCCGGACTTATTACCATAAAAGACCATTTCACATACCCCTTTTCTTTCCAATCACCTAAAACCTTTCGTAGATTGTAAAGTCTTTGCTGCAAAATGAAGAAAACATTGCCATCGGGCATCGGCAAGTGCCGGCCTCCATGTTATGTGGCCAAAGTTTCACCCAGACAATATTGCAAGGTTGCCAACATGCAAAAAAGTGGGTTTAGGTATGCATCACTATTCACGAGGACATATTTTTAGGCAAAAGAAGGGGAATGGAGGTTTTCAGTGTTAAGTGCACTGTTGACACAAATGTCTGTAGTATAGTACATGATACTTACGGAGATGACATCGTCAAACTGTGCGAAGAACTTGATAGGACTTGTGATGTGCCCCAGGGTCACTACTGGGGCCAGTGCAAAGAAAGTCTTCACCTACATACATAAAAAAACAACAGTACAATGTATTAGTAAAATTGGTGTTTTTTTTTAATTCCATGTTAAGTAGCCTTTACCCTTTCCCAAAACCTGATCTAAAATAACCTCACTAAATAATCTTAAAATTCCTGAAGCACAAACAAAGCAAGCAATCAGAGATTTCAGATTTCTGGATGGCTTTGGAATGTTGCTCTGCTTCCTGAATATTCCCCTATGCCCCCCTCTAATTCCTGCTGGCTCCTGATCAGAGCCATTTACTGTGTCTCAGACCTTTTAACCTCCTGGCATTATGCCTGCCAATCTTTCCTGATCCACCTGCTGTCAACCTATCCTGTCCAGACAAACAGACCCACAGTTCAGCCACCCAAAACAATACTTCCATACACAATTTCAATCTTTGACCAACCTTTTTGGCAAACTCCAGGTCTTGTGACAGGTGTGCGAAGGCGATGGCTGTCCCCTGGGAGTGACCCACGTAGTACAGTGAACTCTGACCTGTCTTGTTGAGGGCAAAGGTCACCATGGCTGGCAGGTCATACTTGGCCATCTCATCCCAGCTGGGGAGAAACAGAAGAAAACTTTCTTTAAGATTCTTGCTGTGGGATGTTCTTGATCTTACAAGGATAAACAATCATGATGATGATTCATTTTCAAAATTTAAGATGGTGACAATGCAATGCATTACAGGTAGTAGCTAGCTATAGCCTGTGTTTACACAGGCTCATTTCGTTACATTTTGGGTGGGCGGCCACCAGGAGCATGATTTAGCCAGGCTAAGGTTGTACAATGTAGTATAGCATGCACAGTTCAGTAGTAGTGATGCATACCTAAACCCAATTTTAGGTTCAGGTCCGGACTCAAGTCCAGAGCTTTAGGTTCAGTTCCGGACTTGTAAGTCCAGACCTAAACCCATGGCATATACAAAATTGCATGTTGGCAACCTTGCAATGTTGTCTGGGTGAAAATTTGGCCACATAACATGGAGGCCGGTACTTGACGATGCCCGATGGCAATGTTTTCTTCGTTTTGCAGCAAAGACTTTACAATCTACAGAAGGTTTTAGGTGGTTTGGAAAGAAAAGGGGTATGTGAAATGGTCTTTTATGGTAATAAGTCCGGACTCGGTTCTTAACTTTTAGGTTTTTTTGGACTTGAACCTAAACATTCTTACAAGTCCGGATCCAAGTCCAGTGAACCGGTATGCATCACTATTCAGTAGTGTCACCCTAGCTGCATCTAGACCATGAGGTAAAGAGTTTGAATCCTGGCTGCCCTTTTTAACCCAAATTGAATGCTAAAAAGCATTCTCATTGTCTACTGTTCCCTGTACTTGTTGAAAAAAGCTAGGAGTAGGACTAGTGGTATTAGGAGAAATATTCCTGTACAAGTGTCTGTCTTCTTAGCCATACTAGAAGAGTAGCTAAACAGTTCATTCACTGCATTTGACTTTTGAGCTAGACTGGTTTGAAATCATCACTATCACCATATCCTATTGGGCTGCATATCTTCATTTCAAAAACAAGAGACCAAAATCTGAAAGTCCTTTTTTTTTGGCTAGGTGGGAGTTAAGGTACACACGTGTAAGTTAGATTCTTTAGAGCTAACCTGAAATCCCAGAATTCATCATCATCAGGTGTGTACTTGACATGTTTGCGGGAGTACGTGTTTCCTCGCATGTTCCCCAACCACACGTCAAACCCTGCATCAGCCAGGATGAACGCAAGGCTCTCATTGGCCAGATTCAGGATCCAATCGGTAGAGGCGGACAGCAGTCCGTGTTGTAGGAAGACGACAGGGCGTGGGCCTTTGCGAGTGGTGGCGTTACGACCGTACGGGATGCGTTGCACCCCCAGTAAAAAGCCGTCTTCTGTTTGGACTGTGTAGTCTTCACATGGGTAACCCTTACTGGTGATCAACTGAGTCTGAATAATAAAAAAAAAACAATTAAGAAAAATGCTACATTTAGTGTTAGACACAAGTGTTTAGTTCCAAATACACATACTAGTTAGCCGCGGCGACTGTTGCAGGGCTTCTCTTGCTTGCAGTCTTTTACATTAGCCCTAACAACAGTCACGGAGCGGTGCATTGGGCCAAATGAACAAACATGCGTTTTACCATGCCGGAACACTTTGAGACCGAAGTTTGGACGTCCCTAGATTCCTAACAGCCTTACCTAACGTGCCGGGGTGTTTTGCGCGTCAACCGGCCCCTGCGCCACTCAAGATGGCGGCCACTCGGCTTATGAATACATAGGGAGCGATCGCAAATAGTGGCGGTATGAGTCGCGCAGGGGCCAGTTGACGCGCAAAACACCCCGGCACGTTAGGTAAGGCTGTTAGGAATCTAGGGACGTCCAAACTTTGGTCTCAAAGTGTTCCGGCACGGTAAAACGCATGTTTGTTCATTTGGTCCAATGCACCGCTCCGCGACTGTTGTTAGGGCTAATGTAAAAGACTGCAAGCAAGAGAAGCCCTGCAACAGTCACCGCGGCTAACATACTAGTATGTGTAACCAATGCATTATAACAAATCTCTATGTAATTAAATATCTTTTCTGCTTTTTCAAGTGTGCTTTTGTTTTCACCATAATAGTTTACTAAATTAATTACTTATGACTATGAGTAAAAGGTTGGTAAGATACAAAAAGTAAAGTAGGTCACCTATAATTTATAAATCGATAGTTTTACTTGGCATGATGTCAACATCATAATTTTTTCTTCTTCTTTTCAACACCATGGCATTTTAAATGCTTAGAATTTTAAAAATTCCTATGGTAAGGGTTACTATGGAACTATACTTTGAGGCACTTTATCCTGTGTCGTGTAGAAGTAGAAATAGGAATTACCTTATCAAATTATGACTAAACGTTGCATAAGTCTCTGCAAGGAGGTCTCTGTAGTGAATTATGTTCAACTGGTTTTTCCAGTTGCTCATTACAAGTGTTAACGAGTTCTGTTAGTTCATTAGTGACGCTGAAGAATGAGTGGTGGACGTCCGGAAATTATCTCCGTAACTTATCCAGTAGTAGAGCGAGATAGAGTTTGAATTTCCTTTGCACTAGTAGTACTAGTTTGTTTACATGGGTGTCTAACCTTCATCAACGTAACTCATGCAATGTCCTTGTAAAATACAACCGAACTAAAAGATGACAAGCGATCTTACCGCATTCATGTGAATTTCTGGGTCCTCTCCTACTGTCCATAACCTTCTGATCGGCAGGGAAAAGCATGGCGCCGACAAAATCACGGAAAATAGAACGAGAACATGCAAAACATCGTCCGCAATCCGCGCCATTTTGTCACCTTGTGACCAGTCACGTGAAGATGCGGCATCATGGTGCATACCATAATTGTTTTGGGGGTGAACTGTGTCAAAAATATATGGTGTCTACCTAAATATTTCGAACAAAAATGTCGAAAATAAAGATAACATGAAGTCAAATTGTATTGAATATCTAAGAATATATAATATTTCAATAATAATATGTTTGCTATTTTGTTATCATGTATCATATTCAGCTGTGAGCAGTGAAATATAAATTGAACACCCCCGTGCAAAATAAATGGGGAAATCGCACATCTCGTCCATCTCAACTCTCGCGAGATGACGTGAAACATCGATTTTTAACGATTTTAGCAAATTTGATGTCAGTAATTAGTATTCTGACCTGCATAAATTTATTTCCTTTGTTCTTTTGATGCCCTAAAGTAGCACTAAACTCAATGCCATGGTCAAAATAACCTTTGAAATGACATTAGAATCCTGCATTAGAGGGGGTACTGAATACCCGTACTATTGGGTACCCCTCTAGAGACCAATGCAATTTTCGGCATGTTCATTATTTTTTGTTGCGATTTTCATCTGAGTCGTCCCGTCCGTTCACCGCTATTGATTCTCCTCAAATTATCCGCATCTAGAAAGTCGCACCGTTCGACCAAAGTCGACATCCCGACGTACCCGAAATGTCCCGTCGATGGACGATTTTTGCCTGAAATGTGAATTTTCTGGGCCTCGGAAAGCGGGGTTATAATTCGGAGGAGTCGTAGGGATCCAGTGTTTTGGCTTGACCGGGAATCGAGGAGGATTTTTGTTTCCCCCGTGCACTGGGGTGGATGAATGAGCCGCGGGAGGGGTGGAAACTCGAGCTAACCAACCCAGGAACTCGTAGTGGATGACCTAGCGGCCTCAAGTCGGGAAAAAACCGCCGGAAAGATGGACCGTTCGCCCGGGAAAGACCCGGGCAGGGAACGCAGGCAGAAGCAGGCGTTTCTCAAGGATCTGAAGGATTTTCACGCTGCCAAAGGGTGAGTTGTGTGCGAGGTTCCTGCTTCCTTACCACAAAATTATCGCTTTTTGTCCCGTCGCCGGATGCTCCCTGAAGTTCACGGACACTTCTCCAACTTTTGATTGCCTGTTTCTTTTGTTCTCCAGGCACCAGATTTCTCGGTTTCCCTACGTTGGCGGGAGAGAGCTCGACCTGCACCATCTTTACAACAAAGTCACCTCTTTGGGAGGGTTTCAGAAGGTCAGTACCCAAACACCGAGACTTACATGTTTCCTCGACGATTTTTCGCCCACCTGACAACTTTTTCCTGCGGGTCAAGTTCACCTGCCGGCCGTGAACCACCGGCAGGGCCGCTTGGTGGTCGATTTTTGCCCTGGAAGGCGGATTATTGGGTGGTTTTCTGCGGGGTGTACGCTGTGTATGTTGTGGAGGGAAAATTAATTTTTGGTGGGAGGGAAGGTTCAGAGACAAAGCGCCTTGCACCTTGCGCTCGTAACAATGCCTCCCACGCTTGTAAACAAAAAAAGATCTTTGTACACACGAATCCGTACGGTCTTCCCAGTCACCAGGAGCTAAAATCAACCGGAATCTCGGCCATAAAACCGGTAGAAATGGGGCTTTTATGGGGGTGTTTCGGACGGCATGGCCGGCTGTGCTATTGTGTAGCAATCGTGGTGTCTTGTCACTCAAAATAAAGCCACTTGAATTTTGCGCCAAACGTGGGCACACACACACAGCCTGACCTCTACCTCTCTAACCCCCCTCCTTTTTCCCTCTCTTTCCTTCCCTCCTTCAGGTATCTGAGAAGGAGAGATGGGGAGAGTTGACAGAACATTTCCACTTCCCCAGAGGTTGCACCCATGCACCTTACGCCCTGAAACAGCTGTATCTCAGGTAAGGATGCTACACAGGTGTATGCACATGTACCTACAGCTACCACAGGTGTACTGATGTCTTAACTCTGTGTACTTAAGACAGGGACGTGCAACAATGAAGCAGGATTTTGGAGGGAAAGTCGTGCATTTTACGACACCTCCATATATGGCAAGATTAACTGCCCTAATGTAGAATTTATGATTTATGCAACAAATATTAAGGTGCATAATAAGGAAGAGTATTAAGTCATTGTTATATAGATATCATATTATTCTTTCTACTCAAAAAGCAGCGGGGGTATATTCAATAACCATGGGACTTGATTTAAATGTCACGATCCACCTGCAAGTTGGGTTTATAATTTATACATTTGTACATGACTGAAGTGATTATTATATTGTATGGCCATATACATTCATATTCAGGTCATGTAAATATGATATGTTACATATTGGTCATATTTTTGCATTCGATTTAGAATTAAATGCAGGAAATTTGAGGCATAACACTACAGTTGTAGTACTTGTAATTGTGAGTTACTGCAACAATTCTTATCTTGAAGTGCTCTATTTATTATAATTTGTACTATTGTATTATAATAAGTGGCAGAAAATAACCTTTGTTTGTTGAGGTACATTTTTAAATTTTGAGGGAGGCAGTAAGGTTTGTAATTTCATTTTAATTTTTTTATTTTTTTGCTTTAACATTATTAACAGTCTTCTTAACTTTGTTGTGCACCTAAATTTTTAGGTTAGGTGCACCTTTTCCCCAAAATGAATTTTGAGCCCTGGTTCTGTGTATATTGTAGCCTCCAAAAACTGGGGGTTTAGGGGTCTTCAGGGTCCTTGGGATCTTTTATGTGCTGTTTTCTGATTGCATATAGACAACATAGCTGGCCTGGTTGAACTGGGTTTATCAGAAAACAGCTGAAAACCACCAAACCCCCAGTTCTATAACTTATAAGCCTGCTATGGAGGCTATGTACTAGTATATTGGTCGCATATCCAAAGCTGCAGTAATAATCAGACGTCGCAAATCTTCAGTTAGAATCAAGTGTCTTCCCTTGATGTCTGAGTAGACTTGGCCTAAGTGGATAGCATCTATTTTCATTCTCACGGCAGCTGTTGCAATGATTAGTTCTTCACTTCTTGGATATTATGTTTGGATTCAGCTCAAGAATCGCTGCAACGTTACTTATTTTAACTTGACCCTAACTACTAGTATATACAAATGCTAGGTTTGTTGCTGCTTTTTGATATATTTAGATGATGTGGAGTTAGAAATGTAGGATTCTTGCAGTAGTTGTTTGCAGCTGCCACTTTGTGCATATGATGCTTTACATCAAAAGTAAAAAGACATTTCTCCTGGTAACCAAATTATTACAATAATTGTACTTGGATTGTATATTGTTGATATGAACTGAAAATGTGGGTTAGGATGTAGTTTTTAAAGAATGCAGGTGAGGTTTTGTCCAGCTTTTTAGTATTTTACAATGTATCACTATCACTAGTATCTACCAGAGTGCAGATGGCATTTTATACGTTGTACCTTCGTTTATAGTTCTTGTTCTTCAGAAGATACTATGCAACACCCCTCTGTTAGTGTTGGGGTAAGATGCACAGTACCAGAGGACTATTTTTTAGGTTCGAGCCCCCATAAGGCACATTTCAGTTTACAGATTGCATTTGTCTTTCTAGTAAGATGATGCTTAGACTTAAGAATGGGAAGCCTAGGCTTAAACATAAATGCAGGTAAAGAAATAGCCTCCATAGCATGCCAAAAACTGGGGGTTTTGGAGGTCTTCACGGTCTTTGGGAGCTTTTATGTGTTATTTTCTGATTGCATATAGACAACATAGCCGGCCAGGTTGAAATACCCCCGTTTTAGAACTGGGCTAATCAGAAAACAGCCGAAGACCACCAAACCCCAAGTTCTTTAAGCCTGCTACGGAGGCTAGTTAATGAACACATCTCAATAAGAGTAGTTAGGATAACCTGGTGTCCTTTGTTGAGAAAGCTATTAGGCGGCAAGGTCAGAGTTGTGGTTTAAGGGTTCTGGGTTCTAATCCCAGCAGACCCCACTGTTGTGCCATTGAGAGAGGCACGGTTCTCCTATAGCTAGTTCCCCGCTTTTTGCCGGCTGTGACATGGCATATTACTGTTACAGTAGCTTTTGACTACTGTACATCCTTACATGCCCATTAGTTTGCAGAACCTTGCATAACACATCAAGTGATGACATGTGTATAAAAGTCACTCCAAGTTTAGATGCACTTCAAAAATGCTTCTAACTTGCATCCTTCCACTAGGTCTAATTATCTTTATGTAAGGCCACACCAATTTAATTTCTTGGTTAACGGATTCGCCGCTTCATTTTTTTCTGATTTGCAAATAAAAATAAAAATCCAGAATCAACTGCAAAATGCTCATATTTTGCCCTGAACAGTTGAAAACAGACCTTTTCATCCTAGTTGTTACAGTTATTCCATCTTTCAATGCAATGGTATCATTAAAAGTTCAAAATTCATTGTTAAAATTTTGAACCAGCCTGGTGTGTTGACTTCATGGCTCCTATCGTACCATTTTGGGCCATAATACGATGCCTAGGCCTGTTTTTATTTTTATTTTTTTTTCGCCCGCCCGCTCCATTATTTTTCTAGAAAAATCCGTTAACCAAGAAATTAAATTGGTGTGGCCTAAGAGCCCTATATGTCCTCTTTCCTTTCAACGTACCAACTTATGAAGAATAGAGGGAGGAATTTCAGTTTTCTTTCGGTGTTAGATCTAGACGTTTTGGCACATGAGGTTCTGAAGTTTTTGTTTGATCTTATGTTGAACATCTGTTGTTGAAGCCTTTTCTAAGGTTTTATTATTATCTTAAAGACTTCAATGTTATTCTTAATGGCTTTTACTTAAATAGAAGTGTCGGCTACTTCACAATCAGGTGTACCCATTTTTATTCAGACATGTTATATTTAGTTGATAGCAAAAGCTACACAACATATAGCTGTTTTAGACTTTCGTTTTCCAAAACCTGGTACAACAAGGAACGTGTCACAAAAAGAATTTTGTCAACCGGTCGATGTTTGGCGAAAATATTGACCAAAATATGACCTAAAAATGTGTAGCTATTGGCTATGAATAGAAGTATCTTTGCATGTAAAAATTTCCGTGAGCTTTTTCTCTGAGAATTAGAAAAGGGTAAAATGTTTAGTCTCTGAGTTTTCAAAATAGTTGCCCACACCAAAGCAGATATGCAGAAACCATACCTCAAGTTCAAGCCCAGACCAAGACATTTTACAACCGATACACTTGTAGTTTGACACCTTTTCCATGTCACACTATCTGTTCTAGACTCTTTCAAAGCATCAGTGAAATAGTAGCAAAAACATTCTGAGTGACACTAACTAATTATTAAACAGATATGCCCTTTGCAGGTGGCTTGGCTATCTGCCAGGATGTTCATAGTACATACCACTGGTCATTGACATTGCAGTGTACCGTAAATTTGTGAGACTTTCGCGGTGGTTTTGTTTTCACAGTTTTAGCGGTGTCCTGACTACAATGAATTCTTGACACTGCAAATATGTCTTCCTTGAACATGTACAAAAATGTATGACTAAGTGTAAGTTACAGAACTACTACATGTGTTACAAACATGAAATTACATGTAAAGTGCTGAAATTTTGCAAAAATAAAATCACTACGAAAGTTTCATGATTTATACTAGTCAGAAAATTTCTATATATTGTTGAGAGCAGTCCCATCAAATATGATATAATAATTAAAATCTCAAATAATTTTGAAGAAAAATTGATGATAGTCTTTGCAAAACTCCAGCTATGTAAAGTTATCCTTCTTGTGTAGTTTTTGTATGATATAAATGTAGAAAAATCAAAATACTTTTAGTATATTCCACCAGACATACATGCTTTATTTTGATGGTTAGTGAAATCCTCAAAACTTGTCTTTTTTACTAGTAAAAATAACTAAAATGCTAATCAATTTAGCATGAATCGTCATAGAAATAGCCAACACAGGTGGATTTGAAAGATTTATGGGCAAATTTCTGATGATAGCCAAAAGGGTAGAACACATACTGGGAAGGGATATTGTCACATGCTTGGTTCGGTCACCAACTTGACAAGAAGCCAAATGTTAAACTTCTTGTGATGTTTGCCTCATACTGTGCTCAAGAACAGTTCATAGCACCAAGTGTGGATCATAATTTATATGTTTCCATTAGGAAAAGCATAGTTTGGGTCAAAAGTGATATTTTTCTGAATCTGTTTTAATTTCATTCATCATTGTGGCAGCATATAGCAAACATTGTTATTAATGTACAGGCTGCATAAAAAATTATTAAGCAACTGGGTAGATTTTGAAAACTGTCATATGTTTCATGTTGCATCTTTTGAAATGTATGACAGTGACAGTTTTCAAAATCTATCCAGTTGCTTGAGTAACATTTTCATCTCAAATTTACCTGAATGTCTAACCTTCATGGACATAAATATATAGTTTCATGTTTTACATACAGCGAAATGATCTATTCTCAGTACCACAGTGCTATAATTATGAATGTTTGTTTTTTTGCGTTTTCATTCATTTTCACAGCCTAATTATCTGAGGACAAAGGGGAAGAATTTTGAGTGTTTGACACTTTTAATAGCACCTGATTGGTCAGTCATATCTGGGCTGTCACCTTGGTGATTTGGAGGTTATTTTGCGTACATGTATTTTTCACACTTGGCCTTTTGTATACTGGTCCAATGTACAATATGGCACGATGGCAAAACGTACTGCACCTGCGCGAAAACTGTAATATATCGTGCATAGCACTTCGGCAGAACGTCTCATAGGGTCGTATTTGTGCGTATAAGGTTAACATTCCGTCTGTAGTTTCCAAATAATGTGTCAAAAAAGATATTGTCTGCAACAGGCAAAATTCTGATGCAACGTTAACGTTGACTAAACATCCAACGAAAACCATAAAAAAAATCATGGTTTTGCACAGGTGTAGTACGTTCTGCCGACTTGCTTAGTATGGTGTTTATTAGGTCAGGTGATTTTCTTTTCATTGCCAAGGCATGGCACCTGTGACAATTGTTGTGGTTTTTGTTGACAATACCTTTGGTTTTGCAAAAGATATCTACTGGCAAATATTAGGCATTTTAGACAGAATAGAATTCCATGTATGTTACCAAAATTGTAAGTATTGTTCTCTAAAATAGCCCTAGTTCTGTAGTACATATGTATGTCAATAAGTCTCACCTAACCCTTTTTGAGCTATTGACCATGTAAATGTCAATTTTGCTACAATATTCATACCAAATAAAGGAATTGATATCAATATCAGATATTGTATTCAAGTCAAACCCTTTTGGGACATGGGCATATACAATTAGACAATTGATGTTTTAAAATCATGTACAATATTTTGATAGAAAAAAACCTGTATGCCATGATTTGCCATCTCTGACAGAGAAATTTACTGAGCACGATAAGCTGCCTTTAGGATTTACATCAGCTGAAGGCCATAAAATTATGCTCCGGTAAATCAGAGACTGTACATTTAGTACTGCGACATGCCTGTTATGTGATAGCTTACAGGTTTTGCTATCTTGGTGTGACAGAAAAGATTTGACTGTGAACTTGGAGTGATTGCATTTATTTGCATAGCAAATGTTTGTAATTCTTTGGATACAGTTCTTTTGTAATGTTTGTACTAAAAATATTAACCCTTGTCCTGTTGAGCCCATATATATATATAGAATACAACACGGGGTATTCCGTATCGCCCGAGGTATCGGCCCGACCGCGGGTCGGATCGCCCTCCGGCCTGTGGCCGTCGGGCGATCCGACTCGCGGGAGGGCCGGGACCGAGGGCGATGCGGAATACACCGTGTTGTATTTTATTTATGTCATACCCACCCAAGAAAACACGCCTTTCAATGCAAGATGAGCCAAAAGTTGGTGCCACTGAACCCTAAAATGCAACAACATCAATTCCAACGTCCGGATTCTGTATTCGAATTTTCGAAAGGGGCACGCGCGGTTAGGGCGAAACGCGTTCGAATCGTTTTATGGAAGCCAGGGAAGCGTTCGATAACGGGTTCCGGACCGGGCCGTACCGTAACGTACAGCCCGGTCCGGAACCCGTTATCGAACGTTATCGCGGCCCGGGTATGATATAAATAATAATATATGGGTTATGTGCATACAGTACCATCTATATATCGCCCTGTACATGTATATGTACGATTTGGGGGTATTTCTCATGCAACACACCACAACGAATGCAGAAGTAATTTACTCCACCGCAGGGCAAAAAAGTCAAGGGTCTATGACCTGATTAAGACATCAAATTGTTTGAAAATATCGTGTAAAAAATGCCAGCACGACAAGGGTTAAAATACAGGTATTCCCAAGGGACATGTAAATCATCATCATCATAGTCCATGCAGCTACATGACTGCACAATAATGCCACCCACTGAGAAAAGATTGAACTGCAGATTTTTCCTGCTCCCGAACTTTGAGTCAAAGGCATCTAGTACAGTTTTCAGGGCTTGGAAACCAGATTTTTCAAAGTCAATATTCTTAGTCATTTAATAAATGATTTATCTACATAGTCGGTTGAAACCATACCACCCCAGTGTATGTTGACCCTCATGGAGCAAAAATTCCCAAAATTTCTGACAGAAAATAGTTACTGGAAGGGCTTTGGGCTGATTTTTAGGGTACCACCCAGAAAATAAAGGACTCATCTTTGGGGCTTGTTTCTGCAGTTTTTAATGCCCAAAGTACGAAATGCTGACTCAAATGTGCTAATGTAAAGCAGTTTGTGTCAATATCACAAAGATCGCCTTGCTCAGAATATTTGCAGTTTTGCTGCTCTGAAATTGCATACGATGCCTTTAAAAAAGTTTAAACCTTCCCCTGATGTTGTACAGGTACCTGGAGCCGTATGAGAGAGTGAACCAGGGGGAGGAGGAGGAAGATTTCCTGTTGGACCGCAGTCCCTCGGCCTCCCCACGCCCAGGGACTCCTATGGGGATGGGATACCACGGCGTCAGCAGGCAGGTCGAGATACCAGGTACGTGTACTTTTCTTTTAGTCGCAAAATACTGTCTGTACTTCGTAGTCCAGGGGATTTCTTTGTTTCAGCCTCCCTTCAGTCATGAAATACTCAAATCGAATGCTTTTAATTGATATCTTGACTTGAGAGAAGAGGTAAGGGTGACCCGGTCAAACAATACATATAACAACAATGGACAGATACATGATATACATGTAGACAGTGTATACACATGATGACAAATGTTGTTCTACTAAGACAAGGAGCAATGCACAAAATGCCCAGATACATCCTGCAATTTGCAAATTGCAGAAGCAATTTACATCTTCTGATTTGCCGATTATGTTTGAGAAAATACTGAAAAAATTACAAACAAGTTGCCAATTAAAAAGTTAGAAGAAAATTGCCATAAATTTTCTCATCTAATGTTTCTAAACCTCTTGAAACATGTTGGTTTATGTGTTTCTCCCCAGATGCCCTCCGTCAAACCAGCGGGTTATCGCTGGACAAGCCCGCGCTTACGGACTACGACAAACTGATGATGTCACTGCAGAGCGGTCTGCCCAACGAGGTAGACTTCGCGATCAACGTCTGTACGCTCCTGTCCAACGAGAGCAAACACGTGATGCACCTCAACAAGGCGCCGCGAATCATAGACCAGCTACTGGCGCAAGTCGGCTTGTTCGAGGACGGTAAGAGTCACCTGTTCTTCTACACCGAAGATAGCAGCACATTTGAGTTCATATACAGCATTATTTTATTTAGAAGCTTCTGTTACACTGAAGATAGCAGCACATTTGAGTTCACATACAGCATTATTTTATTTAGAAGCTTCTATTACACTGAAGGTAGCAGCACATTTGAGGTTTACAATTGTAACAAAAATTAACGTACTGTATAATTTCGTTCATAGGTTTCTTTGACACTGAAGATAGCAGCACATTTGAGTTCACATACTGCATTGTTTTACACTGAGTATAGCAGCATATTTGAGTTCACATACTGCATTGTTTTACACTGAAAATAGCAGCACATTTGAGTTCACATACTGAAACCTTTCTTTTTCTCCTTGCAGGTCCTGGGAGCTACCAATCTGTATATGAAGAGGGGTGGAAGCCCCTAACTGGGAGGGACTTTGTCAAGGTTTGTTGACAAACACCTGTTTATCCATTGAAAATTGTATTAATTTTAACCAGTAATTTCTACCAGTAATGCAAAAAGTGACTAATCTATGATTTAATTTCTGGTTGCAGATAAGAAGAATTGATTAGCACATGAATATCATTTGGGTATACTTTGATGATTTTGTAAGTTTAACTCTTTCTTTACAGTTTTGGAAGGACACAGTGGAAGATGGAGAAATGAAGGATCTGATCAGAACACCCCTGGATAAGACTACAGATGAGGATCACATGGACTTGGACAGTCTGTTTAACACCAGGAGGAACCTGGGCATTAATGATATAGAGGGACAGAGAGTCCTACAGGTGTGGGAGTTATTTTTATTAAGTAGAGAATAAGTCATTAAAGTAAATAATTATGGGAAACACAGAAAACAGCAACCAACTAAAAGTGAAAATGTTCCAGAGAAATTCTTTTAACAATTATGTAGACTATATACAACAATGATTGCTGCTAGTTAGCATGTAAAAGCATTTTCAATTGTTTTTTTTCTATCAAGACTTAAAACCTTAAAACAAAACAGAGGTGACTATTTCTGTTTCTCAGAAATCCTGTCAATGTATTGAATATGTGAGTTTCCATAAAGATATTCTTTAGAAGTTAGATAGTATGCACAAGTAATCATATGAATTTTGTTTTTGTTTTTTGCAGGTGGCTGTTATCCTAAGAAACCTGTCATTTGAGGCTGACAATGTCTCAGTGCTCGCATCACACAAGACCTGTTTCAGGTATGTTTTAACAAAAATGTACTATTTCTTGTGAGTCTTCTGTGTTTGTATGCCATTTTTAGCCCGATAAGGCGTGAATGTACAATGGTAGAAATACTCGTCTGTAGTCTGAATTTTGCAGAGACATTTTCAATATTGCAAAAGAAAAATTAAGCATGCAACCTGCAATTTTTCAGACTGAAAAAAAGCAGGCTAGGGGTGTTGGTATAATATTGTTTCAGCTCTTAATATTAAGAGCTATAATTGTGTTTACTACTTACTGTGTAATATACTAGTAATTTTGCATGTAAAATATTTGCCAGCATGCATTTTTTTATATGCCATGGGTTTAGGTCCGGACATACATGTATACATGTATCTTATAATAAGTTTGTATTTGCAAAAGTATTTCTGAATTGCAGAACAAAATTTTGACACTCTGCAATATTCCAGACCATTGAAAACAATATTTGTACCAAGGACGTACAATGAAGGCTATCTATTTACCTATGATGTCTCTTGCAGGTTCCTGTTGCTGTGTGCACACAGTAAGTACGCGTCTCTGAAGCAGCTGGGTCTGGACACGCTGAGTAACGTGGCAGTGGAGATGATCCTGGAGCCGGTACAGAATGAGACCACACAGCTCCTCATGCACACCATCTGTGCATGTCTCAACTCCAGGGACAAGTTCTCTGCAATGAGAGGTCTGCAAATTGCAACTTTGTTTTCTTATAGTGGGGACCCTATTTGAGTCATCTACACTAGCGATCACAAATAAGTTCCCACACTTGCAAATTACGATTAAAAGCCTTGTATTTCTGGATCAAATTGGGCAAGAGCCTGCGCTTCTCATTTAAATTGCATTCGTGCATGTAGATGTTTGTGTAATCCCGTTGGGTTAGGGCTAGGGTTAGCAGCACATGATTGCAGCTATTCAGTGCACAGGGTTTACACGACTTTTGCAGGACTTTTAGCCCTGTGTTACACGCCTTTTGCACGAGAAATAGAAAGTCAAAACCGCATGTAAAATGCAAAAAAGAAAGGAAGTTCATCTCAATGCCTATGCATTTCTTGTTGCTTTTCTTTTGGATGGGAACCAATAATAATTTCTCTGGCACAATGAACCTAAAATTCTTGTTTACATTGGTTGTTGTTTACATTTGTTATTGTTTACATTGGTTGTTTTTTTATATCGTCGTGGTGATTGTTTACAGGTATGGAGGTGCTGGGTAAGCTGTGCCAGGTGCCAGAAAACCAGGAGGTGCTAGAGGAGTGTGTAGAACTGGACACCTACAGGAACCTGGTCCGCACACTACTGGTACACGACGTGCAGGTACTACTAGCCTGCCTGGAGGTGCTGTACGACCTTTCCAACGTCGGCAAGGTCACGGCCAGTAAGATTGCGTCCATTGAGCACAGCGTCGGTGAGTGGTGTTGCATATTTTACCTCTCTTGATCATATTAAGTGGCATTATCAAAACTTTAACATTTATAATTTGTAAGAAGTATAGCATTTGTTATTTTTCTTTTAAAAAAATTGGGATAGGTAGCCCCAAAATGACCATGATCATCCTCCAAATTTTTGCTGAATGGAATAGCCCAAATTGGATTAGTGCTTATGATTGGTCCACTTTTGGCCAATCACAAAGCATGGCACTGAAACTAAGTTCTCATCCCATGTTTGTTGTTACAGAGATCCTGGTTGGTATTATCTAAACTGTAACTTTTGTAATTTGCATAAGTATTGCATTTGTTCTTTCTCTTCAAAACAAACTTTACAAAGTAAGATAGGCAGTCCAAAAATGACTCTCTGTCCTTAAAAAGTGGGACCATCAAAATTATAACCTTTGCATTTTGCAGAAATTTGGTGTTTTTGTTCAAATCAAAGATAGCCTGGCAGTCCAAAATGGAATAGCCCAAATGGCTAAAAATGCTTATGATTGGTCCACTTTTTGCCAATCACAAAGCATGATGCTGTGGCACTGACTTCTCATCCCATGTTTGTTGTTACAGAGATCCTGGTTGGTATGCTGACCCTGGATGTGCAGACATTGCGTCCTGACGCTTTAGCAGGCATCAGAATAATTGATCACGGGCCACACCGGCACGCTGCGCAGGACCCTAACAGGATGGACAGCTATCACCAGGCCCAACAAACAGGTACTAACTGTAGCCATTTGCAATATGATGAGATAGAGAATGTCTTACTGTTCTTTAGAAAATAATCACAGCATTACTGCAATAGTGGAAGGTAAAAAGACTAAAAGACAATGCAGAAATAAAGGTGGGGCAAAAGCTAGAATAGTATAGAATAGTGTTATCTTTTCTACCAAACATTTTAGTCAATTGTCAGCAAGATACAGGCAGATGCAATACTCTCATAGACAACATTTATGGTATGTAAACAATGAAAACTATAATTTCTGTAGCTTTCTTTGCCTATTTGTCCTATTATAAGAGCACTTTCCTCAAAGCTTGACATGGATTAAAATACTTAGTAGCTTCTATGAACTTTCAAACTTTTTCTTTTTTTTTGCGAGATTACATCTGATGTTATTGGTCATTAATTATCCTGATGAAGGCGACAGTGGTCGTTGAAAATTTGATCTCTTTGTAATCCTTGTGTTGGAATGAAGTCCAACATTTCACTTGGTACATTTTACCAAGTACCAACACAGATAAACTTTTATGAAAATTATTTTTTTCTCTAGGTCAGCGTCAGCAGATGGTTTCAGCTACGGTATCGTCCTCTCACCCCGCCGCGCCGTCCCAAGGCGAACGGCGGGAGATTGACAGCGAAACCTTCACGTGTCAGTGGCTGAACTCGCTGTACGAGGTGGACTCGGAGGGCTCGGTCGCGAGGATAGACCTGTACGCCGACTACCTGTCGTCCTGTAGTAAACTGGCGCGAGTCGGCATCCTAACGTCAACACACTTTTACAGATGTGTCAAGTGAGTACTGGTGTTAATTCTAGTGTCTGCTGTATTGTTAAGTGTGTATTATATACTGCTTCATAACACTATTTTGATACCAGCCCAGAAAAGGATAAGAAAGAGTCGTGCCTTCAAGTATCAGAGTTATTAACCAAGAACTGAGGTGTTCAAAAACTTGTATTTTTCAAGAACTATCATTGAGTGGAACTCTTTGCCATGAAACACAGTTGGGGCATTATCACTAGACAGCTTTAAACTTACTCCTGCAATTAAATTGAATTAAATGTCATATAACTATTGTAAGTGTCATTACATCTTTTTCCAAGACACCTTCTTTCTCCCTTAAAAATAATTTTTTCACTTAGTCACTATATTGAGCAGACACAATCTTTAAACATGTTCACCAAAAAGTACATGTACATGTACTATCTATCTAATTCAGTCTGCAATTTTAGAGAGAGAAATTAGACCAATGACGATTGGAATGTGATGTGGTCAGATTTGGGTCAAGCCTTGGCAGATTCCAGATTTTTCTACTGATACTCTAGGATTCAAAAGTTGCTACTTGACTCTTAATAAATCATAACTCTTTTTCCTTTCGCCATTAGGACATTGTTTCCTAACACGGGGTCCAAGAGAGTGGACACCAACGGACAAGTTGTGTACCACATTGGTGGGATAAAGAAAAGGGCTGTCCCTCTGCACATCAACTACAGCCTGCTGCAGGCCAAGGCTCAGGCTGCCAGTCCCACAGTCCAGATCCTGTCCAGGTCCAAGTCCAACCCTCCTGTCGGGGCCAGCCCACCGCCACAGGTACTGTAATTCGTATATTTTTGCTTAGACTTCATTTTGTTGTTAAAGACAGCTAATGTAATTTCTGGATGGCAAAACTGAATTTCCAAAGTTAATTTTTGAATCAATCCTATCCCATAGCATAAAAATATGCGAGACAAAAATTTGATGTTGCTGACAAAAAATGGTTGCTTGTTTACAATTGTGGGCTACTTGGGGGGTAAACCAAAAAATGAAGACACACCTCAACTGTGTTCTTTTTGCAGCAGTTAACTGTAACAGTTACAAGCTTGTTACAAGCGTGTTTTCACTAGTTATTCTCTCTTATTTTAAAAGCATAGGCTTTCAATATCAAAGTTGTACTTCATACTCACCATGTTTCTGGTTTTTTCTTGTCTAGGGAATGACCCCTGCCAGCAGCCAACACTCCTCACAAGTCACTCGTTCCTTCACCATCCAACGCCCTCCTACCTCCCAGTCCCCGTATCCCAACACCCCCACCCCTCCCTCACACACCCCAACCCCTCCCCCTTCCAGGAGCCCAGAGCCCCTCCCCCTCCCTACAGACAGCCCACCCCACCCCAAGCCCCCTCTCCCTCTGCTCAGCCCCAACCCCAGGCTGCTAAGCCCAACACCGTTCCCCCTCCCGTGAACCCAGACTTCCAGAGGAGACGAGGTTCACTAGGAATGACGCCGGAAGAGATGGCCAGGCTCATCGCGGCCCAGGGTCAACCTCCAGGTCAAAGTTCAGGTCAGAGTTCAGCTCCACACCAGGGTCAAGGGGACGCCAACATGCACGGTCCTCTGGCGGCATTGCTGAAACGTAAGGGTAGTCTCGTGTCAGGGAGCAAGGAGCCTGCTTCACCGACACAGCAGCAGAAAAATCAGGCAGTGCTGGTAGGGAACACGCAGCCAGCCCTGCCTGCAAGGCCCTCACCAAATATGGCAAACGTGAAAGGCCCTGAACAGGTTGTCCTTCCCCACAATGGAACACCAATGGCGGCACAAGCGGCTCCAACTACAGTTGTGAGGCAGGTGAATTCACCCAATCTAAGGCTACCCCTTCCAGGCCAGGCCTTGCCACCCCCACATGCCCAAGTGGTACCTTCTATAAGAGCTACAGTCAGCATGACTGGGTCTGGGCAGCCGAATGTCCAGGTGCAGAATGCGGTGCCAGTTTCACAGCCAAACGGGCAGCTCACTGTGCAAACGGTTGCAGCCTTGCCCGGTTCCAACCCCCAGGTGTCCATCCTGCCACAAACGGTGCCTGCTTCTGTTGCACAAATTAACCAGGCACCTTCTACCGTGGCCACCGCGATTCCTCCCGTCACTGCTGCGATCCCCAATCTGTCTGTTGCACAATCTCCGCAGCTTCCTGTTGTCACCAACCAAGTCACCACGCAGCCCAACCTGGCACTGGCGACCAACATCCCCGGGCAGCCAAACGTGCTGTTTGTCCAAGCTGCTCCCAACATGGCTGGCCAAAACCCTGCTGTCCCCCTCACCCAACCCATCCAGCAAGCATCCGCGGTTTACCCAACCGCCATCCACCAGGCGTTGCTAGGCAACGTCCAGGTCCCTTGCTCGTCGAACGTGACGCAGTCTCCCACGGTTCCGGCGCAGAACGTGTCGGCGGCCCCCCTCCCCATGGGGATCGTGTTTCAGACCAAGAACGCGGGAATCCCGAGCACGGTCATCCTCACGCAAGTCCCTCAACAGCTGCCGGTGGGGCAGACGGCGCCCATCCAGGTGTCGGGTACGAACTTGAGCGGCAACACGTTTATCGTCGGCCAGGTAAACATGGCGCCTGGACAAATACTTCAGCCGCAGGCCGCAAACGATATCAGTAAGAGTGGTAGCATCGTCAGGCAGCTGTTGTTACCCAAACCCGAGCGTCATGATTCCAACCAGAGATTAATTCTCCCCAAACCTCCACCTTCGACCGCCGGCCAATCTTCCTTCAGTAGTGTAGCTAATGTACAAATTCCCCCGCAGCAAGCAAGCCCTCAACCAAGCGGCAAGAACGCCCTGCCCCCACTCCCAACAAGTCCTGAGCCAAGTAAGACTCTCGACAGAGGTGCAAACCCAGCGCAGAAAGTTGCAGTTCCCAACAATCCCGACCGCGTCATTTGCTCGCAAGTCGAGGTCGCAAAAGACGTGATCGGACCAAACACGGGAATGCACGAGGACGAGAGAAGAATCGAGGTAATCGAAAATCATAGTAGAAAAACTCTTGAGGACAAGATTGCCAGTAGTAGCACTTTCCACCAATCAGGGACTGCACCAGCTGATAGCATCAACCAATCACAAACCAGTAACCCATTGCCAGTGAACTCAGTGGACCAATCAGGGACCAGTGGTAAAGAAGCTGTGAACCAATCAGGGGAAGGCACAAAACTACCTCAGGAATCAGTAGACTTGTCAGCAGAAAAGCATTCTGGGCTTTCGAACGGGCCGACCAAGGTAGCGCCAGGCACCAATGACTTGGACGTTCCTCTTGTGAATGGAGTCAGCGATTCGGAAAAGGAGGACGAGAAAATGCAAATAACGGAGGGAAAGGAAGTAGCTATGAAGGACAAAAAGACTGCTCTTGCTGCAGCACAGTCAAACTCCACAAACATTCCCAACCATAATTCCATGCAAAGAAACGAGTTGTTACCCAACGGGGAGATTAGGGTCGAAGAAACGATGAACGGTTCAATTTCCGTGGAAAAAGCGTCCGGAAACGTAAACCACGGCCCGTCCGTCAACGGAATGGCTTCTGAGGATAAACAAACATGCCACGCCAACGGGAATTCCGTAGGGATTGCAAATTCCGTCTTGTCTCCTTCGCACAACGCTCAGAACTCTTTAGTAAACAATAGGACTTCACTGCCAAATTCTTTACCCTCGGGAGTTGCACAAAATGTTGTCCCAAACACCAGCCCAACCCCTACAAACCCAGCGTCAACGCCAGAGGACTTGCATAGCAAGAAGGCGCAAAAGCGGCCACTCGAGAACGACGTGCTTACGCGAGGAGTCGCGAACAAAGTTGGGATGAGGATCGTGACAGATCAGAGACTGAAAATGGAGGCTGCCGCACAAAACAGTACCGTAAGCATACAAGGTAACTCTCCCTCGCTACAGGGAAATGTAGTAAAAGCTGGGGAAAACTCAGCGTTTGTTCCCGGGAGCGCGGTTTCCAGTCAGTCCCAGTCGCTGAGGCTTCCCACTCCAGGTGGCACATCACAAGTTGTGCCCCCTAGCAGCCCCCAGGGAAGTGCAGAGGGAGGTGCTACTCAGAACACTGCTGCTGGTGAACAGAGGAGGAAAAGTGGGAATTTCATCTGCCTTTGGTACAACTGTGAGAGGTCAGCACAACAATTCTACCACTGAAATTGTTTCTATCTTTGAGTCCCTTTGTTATAACACATAAAAGTACATGTAACATGTAATTGATATACATGCCTAATGCCTTGAACAAACTTCATATGTTACATATTGATCATATGTTACACTGGTCTTTGTTTTCTTCCTTTCAGCTGGTTTGACACACCCAACCAGGTGTTTGTCCACGCTGTGCGAGCACACGTGTTGCCGTCCAACAAGGGGCAGTGTCTGTGGGAGGGCTGTGAACCCATCAAACGTCAGCCCTGGTCACTCATCAGTCATCTACAGGTCAGTACGGTCATCTGTGTGGTCACTGTTGTCCAATGTCTCCCAGTGGGGAAAATCCCTTTCAAGAAAACTCAAGAATCATATTAACCAACTTGCTTTTTAGAGCATATTTTGGTACATTTGTAGTTGGCAAAAAGGTACGTCAATCCGTAAGGGGACTTGTACAACCCCAACAGAGCTTTATGTGCTTTATTAAACTCAGTGTTCCTGCTAGTAGACCTACTACATAGTTGGCAAAGTTTGACTGGGAAAGCCTTTGCATACCGACAAAACCTACTGGTATTTACAATTTTTTTCCCATTATTTTATTTACAAGGAACCAGCAAAGAAATAAAGATTTGTGGAAACATAACTTCTTGTTGCCAGGTACAAAGTAGCTCATATATGTTGCCAAAGACTTGAAAACAATTATTTTCAAAGTGCCAATACTTATGTATAACACAAAGCTCATACCAACTCTCCCCCTCTCCAGGACAAACATTGTTCAAAAGAGGCGCTCCAGGTGGCCCTGCAGGTGTTTCAGCAGCGGCAGACGTCAGGTGCGCGCGCCCCCACCCCCCAGGGGCCTCCCCGGGAGATCCAGTGTCCCCCCAACGCTGCCTTCCTCGCCATCAGGAGAATGACTCCCTACCAGACCCCACAGAAGGACTGGGTAGGTGGGGAAGGGGGGCAAGGATTAGAGGGTTGATACCACCTATATGTTGGCCATTGAAGGCTATAGTTAAATATATTGAATCAAGGCCTTGTAAAAGTACAAAAATTCTTCTGCACTAGAAAGTCACAGGAGTTGACCAGCTCCCAGAAGGATTTGGTAGATGGGGAGGGGTACGTGGTTAATATAACATGAGTGTTACAAGTCACTATACATGTGGTGCAGTACACAAGGAAAAAAAGAAAGGTTTCAGTTTTTTTGGCTCATTTCCTACAGAAACTAGAGATATTCAGCACTTCCTAGATGGAGACAGGCAGCGAATTTCATGACAACTGTCATAATCATTAATATTTAGCACAAAATTTTGATCAAAATAAATGAAGACAAGTAGTTTTGCCCACTGCTGGGCCATAGCTTTACATGTATATTGCTTACATGCACTTTTCATGCAGTAATTTCAGACTCATTTTTCAATAATTAGGAGGAGAAGGAAGGTCCCATCACGAAGAGTGTTCGATTGACAGCTACACTGATCCTGAGGAATGTAGCCAAGCACTCTATAGAAGGAAGGAGGTACGTATTTTTTCTACTATTCAAAAATATGTATAACCACAGGAAGAATAGCCACTTATGAGAATAATTGTGGATCTAAATAAAACTCAAACTCAAATAACTTTCAGTGTCACTATTTTGCTTTTCCGCCAACTCAGCGCAGCGCGACAATAAGATTGGCCAGGCCGCTGTATTTTTAAGAGGCTCCTGCAAAGAATGTAAACAAACAGCAGTTTTCGTTCGGTTATTTTCATCAGATTCCAACTCATTTTTGTGGCAAAACAATGTTTTATTCCCCAATGTCATTATGAAACGAGGTAGGTTTATAGTACAAGAAAATGTGTAAAACAAGGATGTTTAAAATAGTGAAAATCCTACATAATATCACTTTAACTTTTTAGTTTAAGCATTTGAGATAAAAATGCAACAATATTAGAAATGTATTCTACAGTAAAGGAGCACTAAATGTTTCTATTGACATCACAGGAAAATCCAGCGTTACGAAGAACATCTGTCGTACCTGGCACTCAGCAACCTGGAGTCTGCCAACTTTGTCGCCAAGTGCCTCGGCTTCGTGTTCCAACCGGAGCAGCCGGAGTCCCAGAGAGACAATCCCCCTTACGTCCGATAGCAGGCGTACGTGTACCGCTCGCGTAGCGCGGTCCGTGTGTGGTTTATTTTTTGTAGTTTTGGAAGAGTATCTTATTGCCTTCTGATACATTTCAAGCACTGTTATATCCCCAAGCAATTTTCCCTGAACAGATTGATATGGGTAGGATTTTTGTTTTTCGTACCCTGTTGTGCTGTTAAACAGTCCGAGTTGGACAAACAAATGGTCCAAACTACCTGCAAAGTCTAACAATTTGTCCTGCAATATGCTCCCAATAATCTGTATGTACATGGCATAGCGATAGTGTCCAAAACATGGTTATAAAAATAACCGTTCATAAAAATCATTCCAACTGCTCATTTCAACAAACTTTTTGAAAGCAGCTACATCTTGTCATTTAGTAAGTATTCCAGCCACACGTTTTTGTTTTGTTGTTTTTTGAGAGAGAGAAAGTCCTAGTCACCAGGGTATTCCGTGTATAAAAGATTGCAAGTGTTGTAGATATCTTCATCATTCAGACACGTAACCTTCTTTTGTAGACATAAAATGCACGAACAGCTTTGAGCATGCTTCTATGTCATATATCTTGACCAGACACCTCTATAACAAAGCAAAGCACTGCATTTCTTTCATCATGAAATATTTTGGAAAAACCCTCTCTTGCCACAGTTGAAGCAATTTTTGGCCACACCTCTGGGGCGGAGCATCTTTGCCTGTTCTTGCCTGGTGTTCATTTCCACATGAATTCTGGGTTTTGTTGTTGATTTCTCATTTGCATAACAAAATCCCCTCCAAACACTTTCAACCTAGTCTCAGTTCTTACCGTTAGTATTACACCACTTGCTAAAAATTAAAGGAAAGATGGCAGTTCATATTGCTAGTGTATAAACATGCTAGTGCTGGAGTGTGTTATTCAAACAGTCACTACATTGTATTTAGATTGCTTGCCTCTGAGGCACTGGGAAAGTGAGTGGTGAGCATATTATTGCCCTCTGTGTGCTTGCAAATGGAGATTGAAAGATAGCAAACATGGGAAAGAGATACTGTGCATGGCACTTGTAATCCTGCAATTTAATAAACTTTTTTCAAAGGGGGGGGGGGTTCAGTTGATAATCCACCAAACACACTTAAAGCTGACAAAAAAACGAAGAAAGTGATGTTGCCACAAGAGACACTGAGAGTGCAAAGGAGCCTAAAAATAAGAGATGGGTTGTTAAAGAATGTTCAACGAAGATACTTCTAAAAGTTTGACAATCACTTGGGTTTTGCCTATATAGTCTAGAGCCATCACATTTGGCCAAAGCAGAATCCAGGCCAAAAATTCAATTCTTCAACAACGTGTTCTGTCTAATATCATTCTACCACATGCGTAGAAGCCTAAATACAACTGCAGTGTTCCAAAAAGCAGCTATCTATGTACACAAATTCACTGTAGGCTAATAGCCAGATTGTACGTGAGACTATTAAATGTTCCCATTTTTTCTGTTTAGCAAAGTCCATTTTGTGAATGAATTACATGAAAGAATTTCTGCATATTAGCTTGATACGAAAATTAAAAACTTGTGGAAAGAGATGAAATGCCCAAATTTTCTATATCATACCCCCTCCCAAACCCTGTTGTATACATCAATTACAAAGAATCAAATATTTAGAAAAGCCTGGGAACTGTTCCTAGATGTTGACGAGAGTAAAAATGTTAACAGTTCCAGTTTATACTGTACATAAAGAATTGTAGGGTAAGTTTGGGGGCTCTCACCCAGTAGATGTAGTGCATTTTGTACCTGTTGGTATTTTGTAGTCCTAGCTTTGTACTTCTTTGTTCAAATTGTTCAATCCAGTCTTACTAGGGTTTGTTCTTTAGCTCCCTTGTTAGAATAGCTTTCAACATTTCGGGGAGTTTTGTAACTATGTACAGAGAGGGAAAAACAAAATGGCATATTGAACTGTACAAATACATGTATGTGGAACTTGTGCGACCACTGAATAGTAATAACGCAATGAGGGGGGAACAAGTATTTTCTTTAAAAACATATAAAATGCCATGTAGATACTAAGCAAACTTTTTGTATCCGGTTCTGGTAACCCATTTTTTGTGAAACTAATGCATAAGCCATTGTTGTTCTAATCTTCAAGTGGTATAATAACCTTCCCTAAAACTACTTTATCAAGGAAGATTTTGTGTTTGTATAATGTATGAACAGTTTTTGTGCTCTAGATGTTCTTGTATGGTTTCAATGAAATACCAACATTCCCCTGTCTGAAGATATATTATGTGTGTATAGTATAAAGTTCTGGTAGACTAGAGATAGGACTATTTTGAGAACGGATCTTCTTTGTAAATCGGTAATTTACTATTTATTACCAGCAGGACCATTTCTGAGGTTTGTACAAAACTGCGTTTTCTTGGACAGATGTGAGCCGATATTAAAGAGAATTTCAAAGCTTATGACATGGATGTCGGTGTGTTCTTTATTTTACTTTATGTCACTTATGATATTGTATGGCCTACTTATTTAATGGAATCAAGTAGCAGAAGTACTAGAGCTATAGCTGTTGTACTTAAGAATCGATCCTGTAAAAATCAGATATCTTTTGTTTGCGTTGTACATTTCATAATGGGTATAATTTTTCTTCTGGCCTGAACAGAGTTATGAGATGCAATGACTATAACACGTCCAATGGTAAAAAAAAGTTTGACTTGGGAAAGGTAGCCCTTGCAGAAACTATCAAATCCTAAAAACTGTGGTAGACATTTATTTGGAGGGTAATTCCCTCTTTTACTGGACTATACATACTGTAGTACATACTATAGTATACATATATACAGACTGGACAAACAGCTTTGCTATTAACACACAGTGCCAAATGCTAGCACAGCACTATTTCTAACCAATTTTGAGGTATAGCAGTAAGATTTGTCCATCTGTTGCTACAGTTTAGCAATCTTCTTTCTAATGTCATCCTGTTGTTGTTTGTCCCCTGTCTCCATGGCAATGGTCATTGCTGATTGGTACTGGGATTTGGCCAGGTCCTTCTTTCCCAGTTTCTTGTAAGATTTTGCTATGTTCTTATGTGCAGTTACCTGTGCTTTTTTGTCTCCATCTTCTTGTCTCATCTTGAGGTGCTTTTGATACATGGCCAGTGCTTTGTCATACTCTTTGAGCTCAAAATGGACTCTTCCGAGTCTGTCGTAAGCCAGTCCCTCTTCATGCCTGTCTTCTAACTGCCTGGCTAGTGCAAGATACAGTCCATAATACTGGATTGATTTACGAGGGGACTGCACTTGTTCTCTGACCATCTCAGCTGTCTTGAAGCATATCTTCATCTGTTGAAGCTGTGATGTCGCATTGCTCTGTAGATACCGTACCCTAGATGAATCACCCATAGTGGACTGTGTTGTTCTTTGTGCACCCTTGTCTCCATCTTCCTGTATCTTCAAGGCCTCCTGGAAGCACTCCAAACCTGCCTCATGCTCCCCGATTTCAAAATGAGCCATTCCCAATCTCTCGTTAGTTAGTCCTTCCTTATGCCTGTCCTCCAACTGCCTGGCCAGAACAAGAGCCTGTTTATAATACTGGATGGCTGTACGTGGGGAGTGGAGTTGTTCTCTGTGCATCTCACCTATGTCCAAGTAAACATGTATCTGTTCAATGACATGTTGATCCCCTGTCTGATGTGCAATCTGTAAGGCTGTGTTGAGATGAGATGTTGCCTGTTCCAGGTTACCCAGTAAACAGTATACACCACCCATTTTATTGTGGGTTACAATCTGTTCTTTCTTCTCTCCACCCTCTTGCTTGATCTTCAAGTACTTTTGGAAATACTCCAGAGATGCCTCATACTCCACCATCGTACAATGTACCAGTCCAAGTCTCTCATAAGTAAGTCCCTCCCAGTACCTGTCCTTCAACTGCTTGGCAAGTGTAAGAGCCTGTTCAAAATACTGGGTGGCTTTACGTGGGGAGGGGAGTTGTCCGATGTACATGTTACCTATCTGGATGTAAACATCGATCTGACCACGTTGATCTCCTGTCTGTTGTGCCATCTGTAGGGCTGTGTTGAAGTGGGATGTTACCTGGTCCAGGTTACCCAATAATCTGTATACATTGCCCAACTGAGTGTGTGATTCTATCTGTTCTTTCCTATTTCCATCCTCTCGGCTAATCTCCAGGCTCTTGTGGAACGACTTCAGAGCTGACCTATACTCCCCCATCTCACACTGAACCTCTCCAAGCCTGTTGTAAGCCGCCCTCTCCCTATGCTTGTCCTTCAACTGCCTGGCCAGAGCAAGAGCTTGGTCATAATACTGGATGGCTGTACGTGGGGAGTGGAGTTGTTCTCTGTGCATCTCACCCATACAGAAGTAAACCATCATCTCCCCATGTTGATCCCCTGTCTGCTGTGCCAGCTGTAGGGCTGTGTTGAAGTGGGATGTTGCCTCGTCCAGGTTGCCTAGTAACGTGTATAGACCACCCATATTTCGGTGTCCATTTATCTGTTCTTTCTTGTTTCCAACCTCTTGGCTCATTTCAAGGCTCTTCTGATGCCACTCCAGAGCTGCCTCATACTCCTTCATGACTCCAGAAACCACTCCCAGTCTGTTGTAAGCATCCATCTCCCTGTCCTTCCTCCCCAAGTCCCTGGCTAGTGCCAACATCTCTGTGTAGTACTTGTGTGATTCCTGTGGTTCATGTAGCAGTACCATGTGTAAATCACCCAGTAAAACATAAATCTCCAACTGTTCAGTTTTGTTTCCTGTCTCCATGGCAACAGCTAAGGCTGATTCATAGTTAGTTTTTGCATCTGACACTTGACCTGACAGTACTAACGATGAGGCTAGGTTCTTGTAAGCTACACAGATGTCAGCTTCGTTTCCTGCATCTTCTCTATAGATAGCCAGAGCCTTTTTATGGTTTGTAAAGGCTTCAGCTTGGAGACCTAACATATCACAAGTTATGCCTAGTCTGCTGTAGGCCTTGGCTTGTTTTGTCTCTTCTGACAGTTCCTGAGAACACTCTAGCATGTTCTGGTAATACTGTAGGGCTGACTGTAAGTTGTGTAGTTTTATCCAATAGAGATCTCCTATCAGACAGTACAGGTCAAACTGTTGTACCTTGTCTCTCTGTACGGCGGGTGTGTTTAGTTCTGCAAGGAGAGTCTCTAGTGTGCCCTGGACGTCACCCTCGCCTGAAAGATAAACAGAAAAGTGTCTTTTGTGAGATTTCGTGGAATCACTTATCTAAGAGTACACTAATGGTTAAACTTTCATGTTAACTCCATTTAATTTAACTTTCATGTTTTGTAAAAACACATAGCCTGCCGCAGAAGACTTTTATTGGAGCAAAGACTGTGTACATGTACTTAGTCTAGTTCATTCCTCTGGTACAATCTTCATGTGGTACAATCTCATCGAGAGATCTAGAGTAAAACTTTCCGTTAAGCTAGATCTAAAATCGTCCAACAATATGTTCCAAGGAAATAGATTCTGAACCAAATGCAATCGACATTTAGCTTTCAAAATGATCTAGCTTTGAGCTTTTAATAATTAAATACCTTGTAGGTCATAATCGAAATCATGAGCATGCATCCTACCTGTCGGTGAGTCGGGTCTGCTGAGTCCTGATCCTGGAGTGCCTGTCACATATCCAGATGAGTCTGAGCCTATGGAGGAAGTCCTCTTTCTATGAGGTTCCATCAGTCGTTCCAGTTCAATGATGTCCAGTGAAACCAGTTCTGACATCATCTGTGGAACCTCCATGCCACCAATGGTCTTATGCTGATCATCTGTGGAGTATGTTTTCTATGAGTGTTGTAACATCTATATGAACTGAAATTCACGTTTTGACATATTTGTAAAACATGCAGATTTACAAATTTGTTTCATCAGGTAGTTGTGGTTAGCATAGTTTTTTCTGTCGTTATAACTATGACAAGGTAATCCTCAAATCTCATCTACCTGCTGTTTTTTGACCTGGTATGGCTGACGATCCAGCATGTTTAATCTCCTGGACCTCTGTGTCTTCTGGTGTTTCCTCGGATGTCCTGGCTGTTTGGATAGAATGATTCATTAGATCACTATGTATACATCAACATGGATATGTTCACATCATGATTCACTATCATGTTTAGGTTATAATTCAAATAGACGTTATGAATGGTTCATCATATGTTACCTGCTATTTGAAGATTGCCTAGTTTGTCGAGAAGATCATCTTCTCCATCCTCCTTCTGTGAAGGTTGTGGAATTTGCGGCAGCTTCTTCTGATCCAGGTGGAGCACATCCAACACTCTGCTAGTGGTGAGTGTGTGTGGCTGATAGAGAGGGTACTCCTGGGATAGTCTTGGCATGAGCTGACCTTTGAACAGCAAGATGGAAACATAAAGGTGAAAGTTCACAACTCTTTTTGCCATTTATGATTTGTTTTGTTTGTCATTTTATATTATCCTGAAAACAAGATTTCAATGAGCTCAGGATAAGTTTCAAAATGACGTTTACCTCTGACAGGAGATGAGTCGAGAATGTAGACCAGGGCCTTCCTGAAGGTCTCTATGTTGATGGTTGACTTCACAGACACGCTCTCAGCATGGAGTTGTTGTAAGGTTTCCTCACTTATCAAACTACTATGTAGCAGGTTGTCCAATTCTCCAGACTGGTACATGAACCACAGTTCTCCAAGCCCGCCTACGTCTGTACATTGCAGGTAGAATACCAGGCTGCCCGTCTTCACACAGGAAACTTTGATACCCTTAAACCTTTCCAGTTTCTTGACTGCTTTGACGACTGTTAGCAGATCTGTGATACTACTTGTTCTTGATTTAATCTGTTTTAACATAGTAGTAGCTATAGGAAGATCTGTATCTACAGTGATTGTAGAAAGAGTCTCTAAGGCAGAAGCATAGTTGAGCATGTCCTCAGGAGTCTCGACACTTGGTAACACCTGCTCAAGTATCTCCACAACAACAGGAAGAAGAGGAGGTCCTCCTGGAAACCAATTACAACAAATGCTTTTAGTTCATTGAACTACATTGTAATAATGTACGATTATTACCTATAGATCATCATGACAAACGAAAGTACAGTTAAACATCCAAGTCATATTTTAGACCTGCCTTTATAGAATTTGTGATATCAATTTGAAAGTTCATGGCAATTTCAAATGTTGTGTTGTGTACAGATACTCATAATACGTTAGAAACTGTTGCACATACCTGGTGGCTGAGGTGTTATTTCATACAAAACTGTTCCTTCTTGGTCTTGTGCTTCTTCCATATCCATTCCAGTCTCTGTAATCTCAGCAGAGGCTGTACTTTCGTCAATTTTGTCGTCAGGATCTTCAGGAGCTTCTTCATTTTTAGATGAACCACGCTGTGGAGTGTCCATTGTTTGACCTTCAAGACATCAGGACAAATTGAAAATTACTCATTAAAAAACTAGTTTGAGAATCAGTGTCCCATATTTTCTTTTGGCCTTGGCAACAAGTTAGATAACAACTAGTGATGGCTAAAGGTAACCATAAGTTATTTTTAGATAAGTCTTGATAATAATCGTCTACAAAACGATCACTTTAAGGATGAAATCGCGACCATTCCAAACCATATACATGTATATACAACAACGAAAATGAGATACTAAATAGATACCTGCATCTGTACAGGCCTTAATGAACTGCTGATGAGATTCTGACCAGTACTTCGTGGACAGAAGCTTCCTCTTACACCTTGCTGCTGTTTCAAACTCTGTCTTGTTGTGTTTCAACACTCTCTCTATGCTTTCAGCCCAACGCTTTACAGTGGCACCTTCTTCGTTTTCATTCATGTCAACAACGGAATGATGCAGTTCATCCACATGTTCATGAATGAAGTCTGCTAGTCCAGAGTTGCTGGAGACAAGAACAGGAACGCCTGCTGCGATGGCCTCCAGGCCGACCAGTCCGAACGGTTCAGCACGAGAAGGCATCAGGACCAAGTGGGCCTGCATCATCTCTTTACAGATGTCCTTCTGTGTGCCATATGGGAGGAAGGTTATCTGTAAGTTTGCTGACTTACAGTGGGTACGGATTGCTTTACATGTTTCAGTGTCATCTTTGTCAACTCCCATGGCACGCCATTTTACTTTCACCTTGTCTGCGACAAGGCTCAGGGACTCAACAGCAAGGTCATATCCCTTCAGTTTCTCCACACCCTTCACCCTACCAATGGATAGGACCACCATTGTCTCTGTGTCCTTGTATTCAGCCTCTGCGTCTTCAAAGATCTTGGAGGGTCTCGGAACAAACTTGACATGCTGAGGCCTCTTGCTTGCAGGTATGGCTCTGAACTGGTTCTCAAAGTGATCAAATACCTTGTTTCCAAGAGAAAAGACCACGTCAGCCTCTTGTGCATCTTCAAGGATGGAGTCTTCCTTCTTACCAATGCCCATGGCCTTCTCATCTCCCTTGTAGTACTCGGTGTCTTCTGGTATGTCACTGGTGAATAGGATTACCCTAGTATCTGGGTACCGTTCTTTCTTAATCCTTACTGTTGCCCTACTTGTGACATCGGCATGCCCCACAATGCTTCTGATATTTTGTGGAAGATGTGGGAATTTTACAGAATGGTCAAATGTCAACCAATCGAGAGTTGGTTCAGTCCTAGGGTCACCTGACTCAAGTTTTGGTAATAACAATTCTACATTTCTACTTTTAGCGTCATTTTTGTCATCCTCGGTAGCTTCTAAAGCAGTATAGGACACGGGAATGCCGGGTACATGTTCCCTGAGTATATCTACCAGCTGCCGGTATATACAAGAAGCACCTCGTTTGATTGTGTTGTACACATCATGGAGCAGCAAGATGGCAGGATTTTCCGCTGAAAAAATAGATACGAAAACTTAGATATCAAAATCAATTGGGTGCTAGATCATATATATAGATGTACATGGGAGGTCTTAACAAACAAACTGTACGTTTGACGTCTGAAGTAGTACTTGAACTAAGTGACGTTTCGTCGTGGTTGTGTGCTATACAAACGCCATCACAGCCATACGTATGGAATAACACTTTCTTATAAGCATGGGCCTGTTGAAACAGAATTTGCCATCCATAGATAAGCAGACAAGTTCACATGACATTTGAATTCTACAACTCCTTGTCTTCGTTTGCTAAAAAAATAAGAGTATTGACTTACCCATGGTTATCCTAGAACATCAATTGTTAGCTTTAGTCTTCATGGTGTTCTGATGTACTGCTGGTAAGGTAAGACGTAAACTGGAAGCATAGGTAAAACTTTGATGATGAAGGGTCTTGACTTGGCATTTGGTCGATCTGATATACAAAAAACATGATATCTGTAAAATAATATCTCCATTGAGATAAATATAGTGGACAGGAAAGACAGTGTTACCTTTGTGATGCATCGTTTTTCGTATGACCTTAGCCTGTGTCGTTTTTTTTTCAAAACCCGGAAGTGGATCGAAGTTTGTCACAAACATTTTAATTAGGATAAACATGCTGGGCATTTGGACACAAAAGTTCAACTTGGCCACTCTTCAACTGTTCAAGTTATCAACCTTAGGAGGCTAGTAGCCTTATCCTCTTGTATAAAACGCACAATTTATAACTAAACTTACCTTTTGTCAGCAGAATCAAGAACTTCCTCGACGAGTGGCCTTCGAGCTGTGGTGAGCATGGGGGCATTCGTTACGGGTTTCCTGATTGGTTGATGGTTATTTAAACGGTTGGTCTATGTGTCTTCGCTAGTCTTTCCGCCAGCCAAGCTAAAATGAATCTTATATCTGTTCTAGCACGATATACGATTGTGCCTTTGAAAACCTATGTGTTATTTAATTGTGAAATGTATCTGTTTTGCTGTATTATGGCAACCTACCAGCAGGTTGCACCAATCGCAGAGCCTCTAACAAGCAAGTCAGTTACACCTGAACAGCAGGTACGTCATAGGGGGGTATACCATTACGATTCATGTGGGTGTATGTGAACATCTTTTCGCTTTCTTTTCACCTTGTACATCGAAAATAAATGTAGACATTATGTAAACAGACCCCTTGCTCAGCAAGGTCACGTTTTGTTTCCTCCTTATACATGTAATTGCTACAGCATTCAGGACGGTTGCACGGGTCAAATTGGGCTACACCGCTTGAGGATTTTGATGTGTCAATGCCACATAGGCATAGTTGACATGTGCGGTTCAGTAGAGTCAATTCCGCGTCACCGAGTGGGTTGTTATTGTCATTATTTAGAAATGTTTTGAATTCTTTGTAATTGTTTGTCTAAGAAATTTCATAATTTGGAAATATTTTGAACATCTTGTCAATATTCTAAATAATTCCCTGGTTTTCTAAAACGTTTGAAATATTCCTGATGTGGATTATGACATTTCCAATAGTTTCTAAATATTTCTAACAGCACTCTACCATTTTTTACCATTATTTCGAATTATTTCTAACATTTTGTAAATAGGTCAGTGGGATGGGAAGGAAGTAATTCACACATACCTCTGGAGTACAGGGTAGACTGCCTGGGCGTCAGGCATTGATGCCTTACAACAAAAGAGCCACCAGTGTCCAGCAGTGAAATCTAAAAATATACAGAGGAAGACAGAAGAGTAGGATTAGCACCTACTTTTATGGGGGCAATTACCCACATCTACCATTTGGTTATTTGTTTGAAATAGTTC